TGTATAATTTTGCAAGTGTGCGAACCTGCAACCTCACGCCCAAAAGTAGTCTGCCTTAACCAGTTACATTAACTGGCTGTTTGGCTTCGCTTGCTTTTGAAAGGGTCATTTATATTATCATGTTCATATATATTATGAAGGCCTGGTCGAGCGCTGATGGGTTGGCAATGGGGATAAGTGTCCCGTCCACAAGGTCAATTTCTCACGGGACACCCGCAATGGCATGGAAGCCTTGATGTGCCTCCATCACTTCGTGCACCGCGAAAGGCATACGTATATAATCGGTGGCGTGACGGAGCAGGATGTAGTGAACACACCGCCACACCGAGGTCTTACTCAGCCCATATCCATCCCCAACCACCTCCAGAAAACTCCCCACAGCATAAAAACGGAGAGCCGGGGATTTAGGGAGTAGCTCCGTCGAGTTTGTCTCGACAAAGTTGGACCAACAAGATGTAAAAGCTGCTGAATTTGCTCCCGTGGCTATTATGAAATAGTGCACATACACTAACTGGCTCCGCGAACGCAGCCGTCTTTGATTTAGGACAACTATTCGCTGTCCGGCTGCCATAGTTTGACCAAACTATGACCATTCATTCCCTTTAAATAGACTCCTAATTATGTGCTGCCTAATGTATTGCCAGCTGATGTGCCTTTGTATATTATAATGGAAAAACTAACAACCATCAGTATAATGACAGTTTTATTCTTTGCATAAAAAACACTTCAATTAATTGAACACTAGTTGAACACTGGCTGTATTACAACTTTAGAATTGTAATATTTATTTGGTTCTGCACTTTTTCTTGCCACAGAATTACAATCGTATCGACTGAAATGTGAAGAAGCTTTTTGCACAGTGGTGGCCACTAGCGGAGTGAGCTGTGAACAGTGATACGGTATAGCTAAGAGTGGTCCAGACTAATCTTACGAACGAATGACTTACAGAAGGTATACTTAACTAAGAACATTTCGGGAAACACGTATTAACGATAAGGTACAACTTAAGGTATAACTTACGAACGACGTAGCGTTAAGAAGGTTTCGGGAAACGCAGCCCTATTCTCAGCATCATCTAGTCCGTCTGCGATTACATGAAGAAACAGAACAAACTGAGACAAACTTTGTGGCAAAGTCTCCAAGACATTTGATGAAACCTTCCTGCAAAACTTCAGTATACTGTGAAAGCACTTGAGTAACTTGAGGCACTTGAGTAAAAATGCTGTAAAGTGAGGATACTTTCAAAAATAATGTCATAAATAGGTTGTCTTTATTAATTAACTTTTATTACCTAAATTAAATGAACATTTGATGTGACTATCCTTTGCATTTAAAGCAGCTTTTGTCTGAGGGCGGAGCCAGGATGTTTTTTTAGGGGTGGCCAGGGAGGGGCCAGCAACCAGTCTGGGGTGGCACAGAAATCTTCATTATTTCAATATAAAAATGTGATTGACTATAAAGTATTGGACTGTTTTAGTCCCTAAAACACAACTGAATACAATGAATTTCTACTAAATTGTATTTGAGATATTTGTGAATTAGATCAAATAATGCTGAGTGAATATGACCATTTGTGTATTATTCCACCTCCAGGTATTTTAATAAAGGGGTTCACTATTTAGCTTTATTGCTTAGTCAGCTTGGTTCTAGTTCTCAAAACCCCCAAAAGCTTGTTCTCCATCATTACATACTCATTGATGAGACATCAGATAGTGATAAGAATAGGGCTGGGTATCGAGTTCGATACTTTTTAGGCACCGACCGAATTGCCTCGATACCATCGAGTATCGAAAAACGTCTCGTCGTTCGGTACCAAATTTCGATACCTAAGGGGTTAATCTCATCAGCGTCAGTGAGCCAATAAGTATAAGAATTGGTTAATAAAAAAAAAGGTCCGGAAGTCAACAGCACATAAATGCCAGAATGTAAAATGAGTTATTTTATGCATTTAAATGGTTTAATTTTCGTTTATTTTCTAGCATAAGTGCACTGTGCTCACATTTATTTGTGCATTCAATTACAAATAAAAAATACATATCATGCAGCATATATTTATGATGAAGTGATATAGAGCGTGCGCCACATATTTGCATTCCGTTGAAGAGTGTGCGCCGTGAGCACACAGTAAAACGGCTGATGGGACAGGAAAGTGTGTTTTACTGACATATAGTCTAACAACATCTCATCAGACCGCAGTTCACAGTTGTTCTACTGAGGCTCATGAGAGAGAGAGAGAGAGAGAGAGAGAGAGAGATTTATATATATCCGTTTATCCATTGAAGTCTTCGCACTGGCAACTCAAGATGTTTAATAGCGCGAATGCGACCTGCGTTGATGTTTGCATCAACAATGTCTGCAGCAGCTGACTGATGATTCCTGGTGAATAGCCACCGGGGGGCGCCATAGGCCTTCCTCTGCTCGTCGGGAAGAGCTCGCGGAGCTGTGAGGGGCTTCAATAGTTGGCCGTGACGTCATCGGGCAGATCTGGGGTCTGCGCTGCGCGTCTCTGGATGAAACTCAGAGGCGCAGCAGCAGGATATTTACCACACTCTACCACACTCACTGACAGCATTTCACCTGCCTGTACCTGCTGGACTTTAAACGCTGCTATGAATCTGTGTGCTGTTCTGCTGTTTCTCCTCGCCAGGGTCTGTGCGGAAAGTCTGGAGGGGCCAACAGGTAAGACACGAGTGTTTGAGAGACTTTGATTACACGGAGCCATACGGTCCAGATCAGTCCTCTCACACACAATCTGTCCCGGGAATCACAGGACAGGCAAAGCAGATTTAGGATGGAGCTACTCTGATCTGACGTGAATGATGTGGAAAGTTGAAATAAGTTTTCATAGACATTTCATTGGCATTTAATCAGTGATCGTTTGCGATTCGAGTGTTTTTTTTTTTTATTATATGGATCTTAATCTCTCTCGTATGAGAAATCTTAAATTCAGATAATCACGTGAAGACTGATGTTAAATTATGACAGATATGGGTACATGTTTCGATGGCGTTAGAAGTTCAGATGAACTTAAATATCAACTTGGCGCTATATTTCATAAATGCACAACAAATCAGTCAATAAATGGTTAATAAATGCTTTTTAATTTAATCCAGAATGTAAACTGCTATCATTTAGGCTACTCGCCCTCATGCTGTAACAAAACCGAATGACTTTCTTCTGTGGACCGCAAAAGGAGATGTCAGGCAGTTTGAGAGACTCAGTCACTATTCATTTCATCGTATAGATACAAATCTGCAATGAAAGTGAATGGTGACTGAGACTGTCAGCCACTAACATTCTGCCTAACATCTTCTTCGCTTACTCTGGGGAAGAAGGCATTGAACAACATGAAAATGGAAAAAGAAGAAGAAGAAGAAAAAATAGAATAAAGCTAATAAAAAAATAAGTCATTAGAAAATAGAAATATATGGTGATCATAAATTATAAATCAATCTATTCTTTGTTGATACCGTTTTGTGCATTTTGTGGTATGAACTTGACTCTCTGTTAGATGATCCATCCTCTACTCTTAGACAAATCTGTTTATTCATTCATGAATTCATGTCTGTTATAGATCCAATAGTATTTCATTTTAGTCGAGACTCAGTGAGTAAAGGAATATTAAGAGGTAGGCTATGCCCTGAGGATCGGCTTCTGTCAGACTCCTCTATTTCACCTCCGTATTTACATATTTACGCTTGTTTAAAGTCTCTTGCTATCGCTTTCATGTCATCAAATAGCATTGCTGTGGCTTTGCTTGTCAGGTCGTGTGTTGATTTAAGGGAGGATTTCCGAGCTCCTGCATCGGTTTCAACGCTGTACCCAGCAAATAAATGCGTGAAGACTGTTAAACTGCAAAAATCCGTCCATCCATTGATTCTTCAAACCGCTTGTCCTATGCAGGATCATGGGGATGCTGGAGCTCATCCCAACATCTTGGGCCATAGTTAATGAATGCACTTAATAAAATACAGACCAATACAAACTGCAGTTATACATTTAACTGAACTGATCTGAACCTAACAAATGATTTCTGTTGGTTTAACCTAATGTACCAATTCAGACATTATGTGTTTGAAAAAAACAACAACGACTGATTCTAGATGTTACCACATTTTAGCTTACGGGACAAAATGCATTTTTAAGTGCATACTGTGCAGTTTTTGTTGTTTACTATCTACATAATTCTGCTCTGTCTATTTGGTGGCATTTATATTTTGTCAGAGTACATGTTGGGCTGTTTGCTGATGGATTTCGGGAAGCTTACTGCATGTGTTGCGATGTTCAAGTCGGTTTTCCTGTGTCTTTGAAGCATCCTTCATACTGTCAGATTACGACACAGTGGGGTGTGTGGGAGGTAATGAGACCTGAGTGCAAGTTCACTTCACTGACACACTGACGGTGTGTGTGTGTGTGTGTGTGTGTGTGTGTGCGGCTGCGTTTGGGGGCGAGGAAGGTTACAGAGGGTCTCTCACTGCAGTAATCCAAATGAAAGTGAGTGGGCATTTCAGAAAATGCGTTCAAGGACACAGAAGGGTTGCTCACTAGGCACTGCCAGGTTTTAAAGGAATAGTTCACCCCCAAAAATGGCAATTCTGTCATTGATATCAATCAAGTAATCCCATTTGACTCTGTATTCCAAGTCTTATTAAGCCATTCAAAATAATCAATTATTCAATGATAATTTTCCACACCATTATAACTCTGAAATCTCATCCTTCATTCCATATATTCAGAGACACATGTCTTTTTGCATTGGTTTTCCATTGGCATTTGGTGTCGGTGACATCAAAACTAAGCCCTGCAAGTGTGCTACTCTTAAAATGGGACGTGAATGAGATTTCAGAGATGCACCAGAGGGAAGACTCTCTATAAACAACAACTTGGCTTGTTCCTCGTCATGCTGACTTGGAATACATCAAACGAGTCGTCTTCAAAATTTTACCCCTTAAATTCAGTGGGGAAACAAAGAACAGCATAGGAGCTTGGAATGACATGAATGGGTTTTGAGCAAGTAAATCATTTTTTTTTCTTTTTTGAGTGAACTGTTCTTTTAATAGCTGAGCACGCTGTGAGTTTTTCCCTACGGAGCTCACTCACATATTTCTGCTTTGTGATGTAATGCCACCTATTGCTCTTTCTCACTGTCTTTTGACAGTTACAGTTGAAAAACACACAATTGGCCATTACTTTATCAAACGAGTAAAATAGTTCTCTGCCGTATGCTGTTGTGCTTTGGCCACTTCAAACAGAAATGCTTTCAGCTTTGCATTTGATGTTAAACACTGCTGTGTCATTAAACTTCCATCTAGTGAATAAGGCAGAGCAATAAAAGAAAGGCTTTTCCTGAATAGATGAATAAGTGACTTGTTCAATAATGAGTCAGATATATGTGTTTGTCACCTGCTTTTGTCAAATTTGATTGTGATTGGTGACATTCTGCAGTCAAAAACGTGCATATTTGTTTTACTGTACACGCTTTTCTTCCCAAATAAAATAATACAATAATTTAGTAACTCTTTACAAAAAGGTTACTGCATTAACTAACATTAACGATGAGCAAAACATTTGTTACAGTATTTATTAATCTCTGGTAAGGTAAAAAAAAATGCATCATAGTTCATGTTAGCTCAGGCCCATTAAGTAATAATAACAGATATGATTTTAAATAATGTATTAGTAAATTTCCAAAAGTAACATTTATTAAGATGTTGGTTCATGTTAACTAATGTACTTATCTAATGCTGACGAAACCATACTCTAAAGTGTTGCCAATTATTAACAGTCTAATCAGTATTTCACATTTATTTTTGTATGTATGCATTTACAAATGCAATTATAACTTTTTCCATACGTTTTTTTTTTTACACAACTTTCCCTGCCATTGGTTGAAGAAACAGCTTCCATCTATTATTTGAGACACTGTCAGGCCAGTTGGGATGTTACAAAGTTCACACTTTTCAGGCGAATCAACAAGCAGATACATCTCTGCACGTTCAGCTGCGATGGGAGAAAGCATTTTAACATCAAAAAATGACACAAGTCAGATTTAAACCCAGAGAACCTACAAATCCAGGTTATCTGCAACCATCTGATATAGTTTTTGCGTGACACTGAGTTGTATTCAAAGCACCAGGAGACATTAGAGCGAGAGAGTGACAGGCAGAAAAACTACAGAAGAATGAATTGCACTAGAGCAGTGTCCCGAATCCGCAGCAGCCCACCAGAGTCAGCAGAAAAGAGCAAGAGTAGGTGGTTGATATTATAAAGGAGGGCAGCAGAGGGCAATCGCTGGGCTATTCAATCTCTCAAACGCTTTCACACTGTACAGAGGCTTTGAAGACATCGCGCTCACGCTGCACACATTTTTTTTCAGTTTGTTGCTCACATTCTATAATTAGAATGACTGTGTTGAAATTGAATCTTCGTTCGGACAGTGTTTTCAATATTTGGCGTATCTACATCAGCTGACATAAATATAGCAAGCAAGTAAAATGTATAATGAAACCGCTCCATCTATTCAGCAAGGATGCATTAAAAGTCACAATAAAGACACCTAATGTCACAAAAGATTTTAATTTCAAATGCTGTTCTTTTGGACTCTCTAGTCATCAAATAATCCTAAAAAAAATGTGTCATGGTTTCCACAAAAATATTGAGCAGCGCAACTGTTTTCAACATTGATAATAATCAGAAAAATGTTTCTTGAGCAGCAAATCAGCATACTATTATGATTTCTGAAGATCATGTGACACTGAAGACTGGAGTAATGATGCTGAAAATTTGCTTTTGCATCACAGGAATTAATTATATTGTAAATATAATAAATTTTATAATATATATATATATATATACATTAATTGTAATGATATTTCACAATATTTTTTGTTTTTTATTACTGTTTTACCGTTCAAGTAAATGCAGCCTGTATAGGCAGCCCAAGAAAAGACTCCTTTATAGACTTTGTTGTTCATCATTAAAAAAAATAATAATAGTCCCATGCTTTTGAACAGCAGTGTATATATATGTGAATAATTAAAATTTAATGTTTTTGAAGTCTCTTATTCTCACTAAAGCTGCATTTATGTATATGTGTGTATATATATATATATATATATATACAGTATATTTATACATATAAAAAATCAGTGTTTACAATGTTCTGATAAAATATCTTTTAACATCAATTTTCTCAGACCCAGAATATAAGAGAAATGTTTATTTATAGCAAATTGAAAGAATAAAATCCTGTGATAAATGCTTTGTTTAACGTCAAGAGTCTGTCTTTTTTGGTTCTAGTTGCCATTTTAGTTTCCCACCAGTTTCGCTGTGCTCTTGGAATAGTGGTTAAATTGAGCACGGTGTGACAGTGCGGTGTTTGCATGTGGGAGTCTTGTCTTGTCATAACGTGTTGCTCCTAGGTGTGTGCGATATTGACAAAAAATTATATCTCGATATTTTATGGGATTTTATCGATAACGATAATTAGACGATATTTTGCTGAGTGTGTTATTGTGCTGGTACCTTAAGGACTGCCGAAGACAGCTGACTCCTAATGTTTTTAATATTCTTCATATTCTGTGTGGTGGTCAGTTCATACTGATAGAAATTAATCTTTTCCAATAAGTTTAAACTGATTTTTGCATTTTATGGGCATTTTTACCTTTATAAAGCCATTT